TCGGCGCCAGCCGACCAGCAGACGGCGGACCTCGCCGGCGCTGCCGCGCGTGCCGGAGCAGGTGACAGGGCACGACGGTACGGCCTGTCCGTGGTTGCCCTGTCCTGGGAGACGTTTGGCCAGCTGCACGCGGCGAGCGCGGGGGCCCTGCAGGAGCTAGCCCGGCGCGCGGCTTCGGCGGCGGCAGGGAGCCCATGCGCCTGGCGCGCGCGTGGAGGGCGGCAGCGGAGCGAGCGATGCCGTACGCGGAGGCGGACGGCGTGATGCTGTCGCTCGGGTCGGAGGCTGGGGCGCACGCAGCTGCGATGCAGGCTCCGGGGCTGGCAGCCGGGCCAGCGACGCCGAGGAGGCGGGCAGCGCGGAGGCGGACAACGCGGCTGCGGACCGCCGGTTGGACGAGCTCGTCGGTGGAGCTCATCGCCGCCGCGGAGGCGGAGGGCGATGCGAGGGAGCCAGCGGGGGCAGTGCGTGGCAGCACGTGAGAGCCGGCGCATGTCATTCGTTTCGGATCGGATTCTTCTCAGGGCGTGTCATGATGATGATGTTGATGATGATGATGATGCTGATGATGATGATGATGCTGATGATGATGATGGTGATGATGCTGATGATGTTGTTGAGGATGATGATGCTGATGCTGATGCTGATGCTGATGATGATGGTGATGATGCTGATGATGTTGTTGAGGATGCTAATGCTGCTGATGCTGCTGATGATGATGATGATGCTGATGATGGTGCTGGTGATGATGAGGCTGATGAGGATGAGGATGAGGATAAGGATGTTTAGGAAGATGTGTATCATGATAATGGCCATAGGGCTATCTTGGGCGTCTTGGACCGAGCGTTCGGTGATTCGGTGCTCTCTTGGGCCGTCTTGAGGGCCTCTTGGGGCCCTGTTGGCCCGTCTTGGGCCTCTCTTGGGCTCGAGAAAATCATGCAGGAACGTTCTTGGGGCCCCAGAGTGCGCGCGGGGAGCCCCACGAGATTTGAGAGCTTGGGGTCCAGGCCCATTAACACAGGCTTGAGGACTGAGGCTCAAGGGATTGAGCAAGGGACCCGGGGAAGTCTCTTGGGGGTTGTTTTGGGGCCTCTTGGGGGCCTGTTGGGGCCTTTGGGGGGCTTCTTGGAGCCTCTTGAGAACCTCGTGAGGGGAAATGCTGATATTTTCGGTTCGGGCTCCCCCTCTTGGGCCTCTCCTGGGGCCGTCTTGGAGCCCTCTTGGGCTGGCTTGGGCGCTTCTTGGGCCGTTTTGGCGCCCTCTTGGGCCGTTTTTGGGTCGTCTTGGGAGCTTCTTGAGCCGTCTTGACGCGGTCTCGGGGGCCTCTGGGACCGTCGGCAACGTCGAGAAGGCCGAAATGTCGTATAGGTAAGAATGTATGCTTTCATAGGAATTGGACGATTTGGACCGCGTAGGTCTCTCTTCGCAAGTGGTCGGGTACCTATTGGGGCGTCTTGGAGGCGTCTTGCGAGCACGATCTGCGTCGGGAGTGGCGTTTAGAATGGCGTTGGGCTCCTCCTCCTCCTCCATGGTCAGAGCGTCGGAACGGCGTCGGGAATGGTGCGGCCCCCCCCGCCCCCGAGCCGAGCATTAAATGCGTCGGGAATGGCGTTCCCCCGCCCCACCCCCTCTAATGGTGTGGCCCCCCCCCGCCCCAGAGCACTAAATGCGTCGGGAATGGCGCCCCCCCCTCCCCCTTAATAGTGTGGGCCCCCGCGCCCCCGAGCACTGAAAGCGTCGGGAATGGCGTCCCCCCTCCCCCCCCCCTTGCAGAGCGAAGCTTGAGCGAGCTCAAGTCCGCGCTCTCAGAAACTCACACGCTGGATCGGCGGATTTTCGGTTCGGGCTCGCCCTGTTGGGCCTCTCCTGCTGGGGCCCTGGTGGAGCCCTCTTGGGCTGGCTTGGGCGCTTCTTGGGCTGTCTTGGAGTTCCCTTGCGCCGTTTTGGGGTCGTCTTGGGAGCCCTTTGAGCCGTCTTAACGCGGTTGCGGGAGTTTGTGGGGCCGTCGGAAGCGAAGCCCCCCCGCCCACGAGCACTGCATGGCGCTGGGCATGGCGTTCCCCCCCCCCTCCCCTTCCCTCCGCAGAGCGACCCCCCCTCACTCCTCCCGTTCCTGAGCACTGAGTGGCGTTAGGAATGGCGAACCCCCCCTCCCCCTGCAGAGAAACGCCCTTTCCCGTTGCCGAGCACTGAATGGCGTCGGGAATGGCGTCCTCCCCCCCCGCCCCCTGCAGAGCGAACCCGTTCCCCGTTCCCAAACACTGAATGGCGTCGGGAATGGCGTCCGGTCCCCTTTCACCCCCCCCCCCCCCCGCAGAGCGACTCCCCCCATTCCCGAGCACTGAAAGGCGTCGGGAATTGCGTCCTATCCCCCCCCGCCCCCTTGCAGGGCGAGATCGCCCGCCTCGCTTCCGAGCACTACATGGCGTCGGGAATGGCGTTACCCCCCCGGCTAGCTCCCGAGCGCTGAATGGCGTCGGGAATGGCGTCCCCCCCACCCCTGCAGAGCGACCCACCCCCCGGCTCCCGAGCACTGAATGGCGTCGGGAATGGCGTCCCCCACCCCCCTTGCAAAGCGACCCCCCCCCCCCGGCTCCCGAGCGCGCAATGGCGTCGGGAATGGGTCCCCTCCCCTCCCCCCCTGACCGCCCCCCCGCGGCTCCCGAGCACGGAATGGCGTCGGGGATGGCGTTCCCCCCCCCCCCCCCGTGCAGAGCGAAGCGTGAGCGAGCTCAAGTCCACGCTCTCAGAAACTCACACGCCGGATCGGCGGACATGGGAGCGCGCGTTGCACGCGACTCCAATGGCAGGAACATCATAACGAGGACTGAAGCCCCGGGCTCGAAGAGGCAACGGGGTGGGAAAGAGGGGGGCAGGAACGGAACGGAAGAGGGGATGAGCAGCTGACGCGACAGCAGCTTTGAGATGGTGGGAGGAGACAGGGGACGACAACGAAAGAGGCAGGATGAGGAACGAGGGTGGCGGTCATTCTCCAGTGGCACGCTGCACAAGCAGCGCGGGCCGCGCAATGTCGCTCTGGCAACCCAAAGAGGATGACGTCACTGGACCCCGCAGCAGCCTTCGAAGATGGCGACAGTTGTGCAGTTCGCACCCCCTCTGGGCTGGTGAGGTCTAGTCTGATTTTGCGCATGACGCCACTCCGCTGTACCCCCCAGAAGCTTTCGAAAGTGGCGACAGTTGCGCAGCCCCAAGCCCCCCAGGGATGGAAAGGTCTAGTCTGAACCTGCGTATGGCGTCGCTCCGCAGGAGCCCCCAGCAGCCTTCGAACGTGTCAACGTTTGCGCAGTTCGCAGGCCCCCAAGGATGACGGGGTCTAATCGGACTCTACGTGTGGCGTCGCTCTGCTGGGCCCCCCCCCAGCAGCCTTCGAAAGTGGCGACAGTTGGGCAATTCGCATTCCCCCAGGGACGGCGAGGTGTAGCTTGAATCTGCGTATGACGTCACTCCGCTGGACCCCCCATCAGCCTTCGAAAGTGGCGACGGTTGCGCAGTTTGCAGCCTCCCACCCCAGGGATGGCGAGGTCTACTATCTGAGTCTGCGCGTGACGTCACTCCGCGGGACCTCCCCGCAGCCGTCGAGAGAGGCGACAATGGCGCAGTTCGAAGAGCTTCAGGGATGGTAAGGTCTGATCTGAGTTTGCGTACATGACGTCGCTACGCTGGACGCCCCAGCAACCGCCGAAAGTGGCGACGGTTGCGCGGCTCGCAGCCCCGAGGAGTGACGAGGTCTACTACGAATCTGCGTATGGCGTCACTGCGCTGGGACCCCCAGTAGCCCTCGAAAGCTGCGACAGTTTCGCAGTCCGCAGCCTCCCCCCCAGGGATTGCAAGGTCTAGTATGCATCTGCGTTTGACGACAGCCTTCGAACATTGCGACAATTGCGCAGTTCGCAGTCCCTCCCCCCCAGGGATGGCGATGTTGAGCCTGAGTATGCGCGTGACGTCACTCCGCAGGACCCCCCAGGAGCGTTCGCAAGTGGCGACGGTTGCGCAGTTCGCAGCCCTGCAGGGATGGCGAGGCCACACAGGACGGCGATTAGGAGGCATGCTGGCGGGCAGGAGAGAGAGAGAGAGAGAGAGAGAGAGAGAGAGAGAGAGAGTGAGCCAGGAAAGAGACTAGAGAGGACAGGATGAGGGAGGAGAGAGACGGAGGAGGTCGCGACCGCAGTGCTATTCAACACGGGAACCCAACGCAGGAGGGTTGGGAACACGAGCCTTGTCCTCTTCACTCCCACGAGCGGCCTCGTCTCGCAGCGATAGGCGGGACACCACCTGGGACGAGGAGGAGGAGGAGGAGGAGGAGGAGGAGGAGGCGGAGGATGGACCTGCGGCGCGTGGGTTAACGGGCCAGGCGGAGCAGCTTTAGTTAATTCCGATCCTCCAGGCAAGACTCCACCCGCAAGTTCAATGCGCAGGCCCAAACCTCCTCCGTTGATCCCTCTTTTGTAACGTGGACTCACAGAAGTCTGGACCCCTTTCCCAGAACCAGCTCTTCATCCTAAGTCGCTGTTTGACAGTTCTGGGCCCAGCGAGGCTCGGATGCCGGAAATGGACCGCAACCGTCCGTCGTGTTTTTTTGTTCACGACGCGAAAGGGGTCTGGGCCCACCTTTTTGTGTTGTTCGGAAAGCAATCCACAGAGACGGCAGCGTCAGGATGGTCATGCAAAACTTGCCTGTAATGGTCCGACTCAGGCGCAGAGCGCAACAAATCAAACGCGGTGAGCGCAGTGGAGTGGGAGATGGACGCCAGAGGTACAGAAACTGATGCAAGCCCAGGAGGGCACACTGTACGCGCTCCTCCTCCTCCTCCTCCTCCTCCTCCTCCTCCCTCCTCCTCCTCCTCCTCCTCCTCCTCCTCCTCCCTCCGTCCCTGCCCCCCCCCTCTCTGCCTCCCTCCCTCCTTCCTCCTCCTCCTCCCTCCTCCCCGCTCCTCGCTCGTCCCTCCTTCCCGCTCCCTCCCCCTCCTCCGCCCGACCAGGGGCGCAGCGCAGCTCCGCGGGCCGGGGCCGGCGGCCTGCTACCCGCCGCCCGCGGCTCCCGCGCGCGCTGGCGCCGGGCGGGTAGAGGCACGGCCCCCGCGGGAGGGGTCGAGCAGTGTCAAGCAGTCCGGTCGAGCATCAGTATCTTGTAAGCGACCCCCATCCCCATCCTCATCCCCTTGGGGATATACCCGTCGAAACCCGACGGGAACGGCCTGTATCCCCATCTAGGGAGCAAAATCGGCCAGTGGTGCCCAGGCCACGCCGCTGGGGATAGGGATCGGATAAACGATGCTCAGAGCAGTGTCAAGCAGTTCGGCGACTACAAAGGGTATGCTCACGCTGGGGTGTGGTTTGCGATCGGCACCATTGGGGCATGGGAAGCACGACACTGTCCTCGTCCTGTGTCAAGCAGAGGAGGAAAAGGTACTCATACCTCTACCCTTCGGCCGTTTTCCCCTGTTTGGGTCTCCTGGGAGGCCCTCGTCGCCACCGCTGGATCTGCCTCGAAATCATGGTCAGAGCGCACCCCCGGAGAGGTCGAGCAGTGTCAAGCAATTCGGCGACTACAAAGGGTATGCTCACGCCAGGGTGTGGTTTGCGATCAGCACCATTGGGGCATGGGAAGCACGACGCTATCCTCGTCGGGCCTCCTCGGGGCGCGGCGGGGAGCTCTATAGAGGTCCCCTCCCGCCCCCCAGGGTGCCCCCCAGGGTGCCAGTTGCAAACCACACCCTTTGCAAACCGCACCCTTCGGAGTCGCCGAGCAGTGGCGAAGCGTCCTGGCGTGCCTACAGGCCCACCAGAGACTGTTCTAAGAACCTCTATGTGGTCTACACGAGGTGTTCTCAGAACATTTTCTGGCTGGGGCTGTCTTGCTTTGGCACATCGGGCTTTTATGTTCTGAGAACACGATTTTGTTCTAGCACTATTGGTTCAATGCTGGGACGGTCGGTCCATGCTCAACAGTGGCGAGGCTCGACTATCGGGGGAGCCAAGTGCCAGAGGTGCCCCTGGCCACAGGTGTCTCCAGGATTTCCGCAAACCGAAGAAGAACAAACGCTATACACATACACTTTTGGCGCTTAGCGCGGATTTCTTGGATCCTCGCCTGGCCCTCCCGGCGGCGTCTCCGGTGCCGTCGCTGCCGCGCGGAGCAGGCCAGGGAGGGGGTCCAGTGCAGATCCAAGGAATCCGCGCGGAGCGCCAACAGTTTCTGTTTATGGCGTTCTTTCTTCTTCTATCAAAGGCCGCCACGGACTCCAGAGCACCCCCCTATGAGGCCCAGAGGGCCCCAGGCATGGCCGCCTACGATCCGAGTCGATTCGATGTGAGCTCCGTACCAGCCCGCTACGGGTTGCGTGCTGCGTTTCGTGGCAGCTACGCCCCCGCCGCGCTCTTCTCACGACCCGAGGGGGCCTCGGACCCTCGAGGGCCGAGAGCCGGCTCCAGACGCTCTTGGTGCGAACGTGTCGACTACACGTGAGAGCGACCCTTCGCCGGAGTGACCGCTGGTGCGGTGCGGGCCCACTGGGGTCTCCCGATCGCCGAACGCGACGCGGTAGTGGTGTATTGCGCGCCGGTGTATGGTTCCCCCGTGGCCCCCAGGAAGCCGCGCACCGAAGGTCATTTTTATTTCCCAGGGTCAATCTTGTGTGGAGCCGAAGCGGCGTCCCGTCCTGCCTGCAGGCCCACCACTCTGGGACCGTCAGATGGGCGACGCAACAAAAAACGGGGTCGCGTAAGGTCGCAGTGCCATCTTGCGAAAGACCGTCTTCTTTTCGTCGCCCAGATGGGGTCAGACCAGCAGCTCCTTTTGGCTTTGGGCAGAGCTCGCCATCGGTGCCGCCGCGGACGTTGAGACTTTTTGAGACAGACGGTTGCCTGCCCCCCGATGCTGCTGCTGGTCTGGGGCGACATATTATGCTGTTTTTTCTCGGCCTCCCAGGTAGGGTGAGAGTAGATGGGGTCGGAGGATTGCGCCGCATCGCAGACGCATCGGCGATGCGGCTTGATGTGGAGCCCGATTTTCTCAAAGCCGACGGCGCCAGTGCGTCGCCGATGTCGCGGACGTCGCCGATGTCCCGCCTATGCAGCCAAGACTCTGAACTAAGGACCCCTTTGGGCTCAGGAAGGCTCTGGTTTCAGGGCTGTTCCTGAGATCTAGGTCATGGACCCCATTCGTGGCCGAGGCTCGCCGTTGCCAGAAAAGCCCCTCGTTCCGTGTTTGGCGTTCCTTATGGCAGCACGATGATTTGAGGGCCACCGCTTGGATGAGCGCGGTGGTTGCTATCTAACGGCAGGTTTTTGGATGTTCTCGTCGGTTCTAGGGGTGTGTTCCACGTCGCGACGCGTTCCAGCAACTGCACCTCGCCGAGAGCGATCCCGGGGTGCCCAGATCGTCACCCACGGTTGTCGGAGACTGGATGTATGGAACCACCAAGGGTGGAGGAGGAGGACCGATTACGCGGATGACCGCGGTAGTGGTTTGTAAGGGGGATACGGGGCTAGACGTGCTTCT